GGAGTTTCGCTCTTGTTACCCAGGCTGGAGTGCAATGGCACGATCTCGGCTCACCGCAACCTCTGCCTCCTGGGTTCAGGCAATTCTCCTGCCTCAGCCTCCTGAGTAGCTGGGATTACAGGCACGTGCCACCATGCCCAGCTAATTTTTTGTAGTTTTAGTAGAGACGGGGTTTCACCATGTTGACCAGGATGGTCTCGATCTCTTGACCTCGTGATCCATCCGCCTCGGCCTCCCAAAATGCTGGGATTACAAGCGTGAACCACCACGCCCGGCTTAATTTTTGTATTTTTATTAGAGACAGGATTTCACCATATTGGCCAGGATGGTCTCGAACTCCCGACGTCACAATTTGCTTGCCTTAGCCTCCCAAAGTGCTAGGATTACAGGAGTGAGCCGTCGCACCCGGCCTCAAGATCCTTAATCACACCCGCAGAATCCCTTTTGCCACCGACGGTCACGTGCACGGGTTCCCGGGAGTAGGCCGTGAACGTTGCTAGGAGGCCCCTGTTCTGCCCCACACGGGGGCTTTGCCTATGTTGCTTTCGGGTCCTCGCTGAAAGTGTTCTTGGCACATAGTAGGTACTCAATGCATATTTGTTGACTGGAAGGAGGAGGGCCATTCTGTGGCACCCCCTACTCACCCCACGCTGGGACACTCACACCTGTTGATGAACAGGGTTCTGGCCCTATCCCCCACCCCATGCCCGCAGAGTGGTGCTGAGTAAATACCCCAAGGACTGGGACTGAGTGGGCAAGGAGGCGCAGGAGGCAGCTTCCGGACCATGTGGGGCAGCCTCGGGCCCGCCTCATGCTCCCTTCTTGATGGGGTGTTGGCCTGGATGAGTGAATCTCAAACCTGGCTTTGCATCAGAATCACCTCCAGAAATTGTTAGAAAAGCCAGTGCTTCAGGCCGGGCGCGGTGGCTCACGCCTGTAATCCAAGCACTTCGGAGGCCAAGGCGGGCGGATCACCTGAGGTCGGGAGTTCAAGACCAGCCTGACCAACATGGTGAAACCCCATCTTAAAACAAAAAAATAAATAGAAAAGCCAGTGCTTCCTCCTGGGCACCCTCACTGGCCCCATCATGCCCTGGGCCTCCTAACTCCTCAGGACCTGATTCTACTCATCTCCTCAGGCCACCAGCCAAGTGCCACAACCTGGTGGCTTAAGACAGCAGGTCACTGTCTCAGTTCTGGAGGCCACAAGTCCAAAGGCAAGGTGTCTACAGAGCAGCACTTCCCTGAAGGCTCCAGGGGAGGGCCCTTTCTGTGTCTTCTGGTGGTTCCTGGTGTCCTTGGCTTGCAGCCACATCCCCCCAGTCTCCGCCTCCATCCTCTCACGCCCTCCCCATGTGTCTTCCGAGTCATTGGATTCGGTGCCCACCCTGATCCAGTTGACCTCATCTTAACTAATTACATCTCTAAAGACCTGACCAATTTCCAAATAAGGTCACATCCTGAGCTCCAAGAGGAATATTGGGAGGGATGTTCTTCGACCCCCTACATCTGGGGGTCCTATATCTACTCTAACCTCGAAACTCAAAATTCCCATTAATTTTTGTAGCTAAAAACATTTCTCTTAAAAACCCTGACTTGTTCTGCATAAGAACCTTCCCTGCTAAGATTCTACGTAGGAAGGCAGCCTTTTCTTTCTTCCTCCTATGGCGGTGACCCCAGTGCTTGTCCTCAACCCCAACCCCCCCGGTGCTTTTGGCAGCACTGGCTTCCCGCTGGCTGCCAGTGTCGGGGTCTTTCATGGGGGGCCTGGGTTGGGATTTGGAGCTGGAGGTTCAAGGTAAGTCCGCACCCTGCTGTCAGTTAGCAAGTCACTCTCCCTGTCTGAGCCTTAGTTACCACTCCTGTCACTGTGGACAGTATCCAACCCTTAGGTCTTTTTCCTCCCTCCATGGTGCAGGATACTGGATGGGCACATAGTGGGAACACGATCGAGAGAGAATGCTTAGTGGGTGCACAGCTGAGGTAGGGCACATAGTGTGTCTGTGGCTGAGGGGATGTATAGTGGGTGCACAGCTGAGGTAGAGCGCATAGTGGGTGCATGGCTGAGGTACAGAGTATAGTGCGCGTGCAGCAGCGGTGGGTGACTGCCTTATGAAAGGGCGTCAGGAGGCTCCCTCACTCCCCTCCTTACTGGAGAATGCACTGACTTCCTTTAATGTTCATTGTTTGCCACAGAGCTGCAGACACGAGGCAGTGGCTGCCGTGCTGGCTGCTGGGAGGAGGAGGCCCTCGGTGGTGCCCATGGCTGGCCAGGACCCCACGCTGAGCACGAGTCACCCGTTCTACGACGTGGCCAGACATGGCATTCTGCAGGTGGCAGGTAGGGCCCCAGCTGGGCAGTCCCTAGGACCATGGGCAGTGCCAGCCTTCTTCTCGGCAACTTTGGGTTGAAGTGGGCTCATCAGGGGCTGCCTCACTGCGGCTGGGCAAGATTGACAAGCTAACTGGAGCCAGGTGCAGTGGCACATACCTGTAATCCCAGCACTTTGGGAGTCCAAAGGGGTCAGATCGCTTCAGCCCAGGAGTTCAAGACCAGCCTGGGCAACATAGAGCACATCTCTACAAAAAAGTGTAAGAATCAGCCAGGCATGGTTGGTGGTGCATGCCTGTAGTTCCAGCTACGTGGGAGGCTGATGTGGGAAGATGGCTGCAGCCCAGGAAGCAGAGGTTGCAGTGAGCCAAGATCACACCTCCGCACTCCAGCCTGGGTGACAGAGTGAGACCCAGGCTCAAAAAAAAAAAAACCCCAAAAAAAAGCAAAAAAAAAATAATTGGAACGGGAGGGCCTGCTAGTGTTTTCAGAAATAAATTACACACTTGCCAAAGCATTGTCCAAGGGCTCCGAGAAGCCCACGGGCAGCGTCCTCCTAGTCTAAGGAGCAGAGGCTGCAACTTAATGAATTGTTTTATCCGTCAAGGGCACTGTTATGTCTCATCCAGAGCAGCAAACATCTGCAGAGACGTAGACAACGAGCCACTCCGCGCCCAGCAGTTGGTGAGGGGACAGCATCTTGCAGTGCTTTTTGTTTTGTTTCGTTTTGTTTTTTAAGACGGAGGTTCACTCTGCCGCCCAGGCTGGAGTGCAGTGCTGCGACCTCGGCTCACTGCAACCTCCGCCTCCTGGCTTCAAGTGATTCTCCTGCCTCAGCCTCCCGAGTAGCTGGGATTACAGGTGCACGCCACCACACCCAGCTAATTTTTGTATTTTTAGTAGAGATGGGTTTTCACCATGTTGGTCAGGCTGGTCTCAAACTCTTGACCTCAAGTGATCCGCCTGCCTCAGCCTCCCAAAGTGCTGGGATGACAGGCGTGAGTTACCACAACCACGACAGCGGCACCAGCTTTCTCATCACCGGTGTTGGTAGGATGTGTCTCTTCCATCCATTTATCTTCAGTCTGTCTGAGCCTCTGTGCAGAAAGTGCGTCTGTTATAAACAGCTTATCACTGGACCTTGTCACTTTAATTGCAAGATGGCCACACAGCAGAAATCATATTGTCAAAGGCTTGGAGGGCCAGCAGAGGAGTTTGCACTGGATCATGGTGGCCCTGGGGCACAGTAAACAGAGGACTGATGTCATCAGATGTATAATTTAGAAGTCTCTTTCTTGCAGTGGGGTGGAGAATAATGACAGCAGATACTGGAGTCAGGGAGGCCAAGAAGAGAGGTTTGGGTGAATGTCGTGGCCGTGGGCTACAGAGGATGGCGTGCGTTCGCGAGATGTTTTTAAAAATGTTGAGCTGGTGGCCTAGCTGAAACCAAAAACTGGGAGTGATGGGGGTTGTCACATGGGATGAGGTTTCCGGGGGTGGCTGGGCCACGTACAGGCCGTGGCTCACGCCTGTAATCCCAACACTTTGGGAGGCTGAGATGGACAGATCACCTGAGGTCAGGAGTTCAAGAACAGGCTGGCCAATGTGGTGAAACCCCATCTCTACTGAAAATAAAGAAGTTAGCCAGGCGTGGTGGTGCACACCTGTAGTCCCAGCTACTTGGGAGGCTGAGGCAGGAGAATTGCTTGAACCCAGGAGATGGAGGTTGCGGCGAGCCGAGATCACACCACTGCACTCCAGCCTCGGCAACAAGAGCGAAACTCTCTCTCAAAAAGAGAGAAGGGGGAGCCCGGGGAAGTAACTTGGTCTCTTCTTCCACATGCCTCCATCCACCTGCTCCCCCAGTGGGTACCCAAGGGGCTGGGAACCTTCCAGATTATCCATCCTTCTCCCAGCAAAAAGGAAAGTAATTGGAACAAGAGGACCTGCCACGGTTAACCCTGTAGGGATGTTGTGGGGTGTGGGTGTGGTGTACTGCGGGTCCTTCTGTGTCATTAGGGGCCTGTGGGCTGTGCTGGGGTTGTGTGCCCCTCCCGGGGAGTGTATGAAGTTGTCAGAATTGACAGTTGAGCCAGGGCCGCGATGCTCCAGACTTCCTTGGGAGATGATGGCACAGGCACGTCTTCAGCTTCTAAATAGTTCTCTTGCGTTGGAGCAGAGTTTTCACTCATTTCAAACCCAGCTTGGCTGGGCACAGTGGCTCATGCCTGTAATCCCAGCACTTTGGGAGGCTGAGGTGGGAGGATCAGGAGGTCAGGAGTTCGAGACCGGCCCTAGCAACATGGTGAAACCCCGTCTCCACTAAACATACAAAAATTAGCCGGGCATGGTAGTGGGTGCCTGTAATCCCAGCTACTCAGGAGCCTGAGGCAGGAGAATTGCTTGAACATGGGAGGTAGAGGTTGCAGTGAGCCGAGATCGTGCCACTGCACCCCAGCCTGGGCGACAGAGTGAGACTCCATCTCAAAAAACAAAAAAACAGAAGTTAGCCAGGCATAGTGGTGGGCACCTGTAGTCCCAGCTGTTCCGGGGCTGAGGCAAGAGAATGGCTTGAAGCCAGGAGGCAGAGGTTGCAGTGAGCCGAGATTGTGCCGCTGTACGCCAGCCTGGGCAGCAAGAGCAAAACCCCATCTCAAAAATCAAACAAAAACAAACAAAAACCCCAGCTTCTTGAGAAATTTAATCACATCAAGAGACCATGTGAGGGGCTCAGCCATCCTGAAAAGACGCTGGCCTTAACCAGAAGTCATTGGGAGCACCAGGGGCGGAGGCGCCTGGAGAGGAGCTAAGTGGAAGCCGCCCTACCCTCGGGCGAAATCGAGTTTACAGGCGAGGAGCCAAAGCCAGGCAAATGGGAACATTCTGCCGCAGATGCATCCCAGCACTTTGGGGAGGCCAAGGAGGGCAGATCATGAGGTCAGGAGTTCAAGACCAGCCTGGCTAACCTGGTGAAACCCCATCTCTGCTAAAAATACAAGCAATTGCCGGGCGCGGTGGCTCACGCCTGTAATCCCAGCACTGTGGGAGGCCGAGGCGGGTGGATCACGAGGTCAAGAGATCGAGACCATCCTGGTCAACATGGTGAAACCCCGTCTCTACTAAAAATACAAAACATTAGCTGGGCATGGTGGCGCGTGCCTGTAATCCCAGCTACTCAGGAGGCTGAGGCAGGAGAATTGCCTGAACCCAGGAGGCGGAGGTTGCGGTGAGCCGAGATCGCGCCATTGCACTCCAGCCTGGGTAGCAAGAGCGAAACTCCGTCTCAAAAAAAAAAAAAAAAAAAAAAAAAAATACAAGCAATTAACCAGGGGTGGTGGTGCGCAGCTGTAGTCCCAGCTACTGGGGAGGCTGAGGCAGGGAATGGCTTGCCCCGTTCATGCGTGCAACGCGTCAATGGATACGGATAGAGAGAATTACTAGAGCAAGACTCCTGATTGCCAGTGGCTTTTTCGACTAGGACAACCAGCAGAGAATACCATCCCCTCCCCGCATGGTCCCTCACTAAGGAATGTTCTTGGCAGAAAAGGGGCCTCTCCCCTTCCGCCTCCTGGGTCTCCCCTTGGCATCAGCTTCGTTCCCTTGCCCCCTAACCGCACTTCATGCACCTGAGTTTCCAGTGGCCCAGGGGGACAGTTCAGGACCAGGAACCCCCTTCCCTCCTGCTTCTCCAGGGCGTGGCATGGACCACTCCAGGACTTCTTCGGCCAGGGGCTCTCCTGCGTCCTTTGGGTGTGTCCGGATGTCCCTCCCACCAACGTGTTTCCGAACTTTTCTGTCCCAGATGCTGCTTTCCGCCATGACCAATGTCTAGAACCGCAGCCAGAAACCAGACTCTTGTCAAAAGGAATTTTGAATGATCTCTCCCTACTTGAGTCACTACATATATATATACACACACACACAGACAGACACACACACACACACACACACTCTCTCTCTCTCTCTCTCTCTCTCTCTCTCTCTCTCTCTCTCTCTC